TGGTGATAAAGGTATTTTTCTAGACTTACTTGAAAAAAAGAATTGCACAGGAAAGGTACAAAGTCAGCCAAAAGAGTTGTACTCAAATATGATACTGAGTACATTTCTACAGGAACAACATTTGATGAGAAAACCCTTTGATTTTCTTTTTTTTTATTTCTTTCATATTTACATGTATTGTTATAAGCTTTGCTGTGGGAGGGCTTAATATACATGGGCCACATCTGGCTTGCATGGTATATTTATGAGGCCTGCATGGCATATTTAGAATTGGCATTAAACTCCTACATTTTTTTTCCAAAAAGGAAAATTCCCAGCTCTTAGGGAATGTCAACTGAATATAAATGGATTGTTATTATTGAGAGGTAGCTAGAATATTTCCTAGTTCTTAATACAAGCAGTAATGATGACGATACAGGATTTTGATTCTGAAGAGCTGAAACTACCACTTGTGAACCCTAGGACGTTCTTTCAGCAAACATTCAATTACTTTATGCCAGCATTTCTCAAGCCCTATGAGTTTATGTCTTACTGTAGGAAAGTGAGCACTTTCACACCCTCTGTACTTCAGCCCACCTCTGCTTCACCGCTGATTTTCTCACATCTCCTGTTTCAGCTGCTGCTGCAAATTCCTATTACCAGTGACTGGCAAGGGAATCACCAGCAAGGAGAACTGGCAACACAAAAACAGCAGTGGCAACAGCCGGAGTGTGGGAGCTTTGAGAGAATCGGTGGAGAGGAAAGCACCAGCTGAAGTATAGAAGGCATGAGAGAGGCTGAAGTAATGGCTCACTCCGGATTGCTGTATTGATTCACATATGCTCTCTCCTTCTGACAGAAACCTTTAATGCTCCTCCCAGAGGGGCACACCCCACCATTTGAGAAACGCTCCTCTATACTATCATCGTGCTCATTTACAGACTGTCATACGTGCGCACAATGCTTTACCTGCATTCTGTTGCCTCAGCTAACACTGTTGGAGCCTATTCCTGAAAAACATTGAGTAGCCCCTAACAAGATGAAAAGACCTTTGCTTCTGTTTACATCCCTTCCCCTAGGAGCTTTATTCTTCTCTCAGCACTGACTTAGATTGACTGATTTCTGATTTACACAAATAATAATGAGATAGGCATGAGATACATGAGGGCTTATTTTAGATAAAGGTACAAAAGGGAGAAATTACATGAAACAAGAAGGTGGGGATGAGGGTTAATGGGCATCCATTCACAGAACACTTCGTTAACAGGAAACTCAGTTCTAAGAGAATCTGTGTATTCAGCATCTTCCGAGATAGTTCTGCGATTTTAGAGCCAAATATTGACCTCATTCAGGTCAATGCGCTTCTGTCATACCTTTCCAATGGATCATATTTTGCCTTTCAATGTATTTTTCAGACTTGCTACAGTAAATATGCTACTATTACATCAAAACCATGTTGCTTTTTTTTCATAAAAATATAAAATCTAGTTAAAAAAAATTCTATGAACATCCTATATGCATTATAATAGTGATATTACATTGAGACAATTAGCAACAGATTGAAACAATAGCAGTTGGCTCTGTAGTGAAATGGTCAGCAACCACGTCCTGTGCAAAAAAAGATACTCTTCACAATGTGAGGAAGTGTGAAAAAACTTCAGCTTTCAAAAGGAACTTCAGAGATGCTAAACCCAGATGCTACAGCTTTGTCTTGACAGATTTGGGGCTCATTATCACTCAACCTTGGATTTAAAGTCCCTGTTAAAACATCCATTGTTTATAAAAAATCTTTTGAGTATTCAAACTGAGGACACATTCCTGCCATCCAGAAATGTTTCTGTGCTAAACACCATGACATGAATGTGTTGATGTAGCCTTCTCTTTCTCTCACCAGGAGTCAACCTGTCCTGTACAAATCAGCAGTTCCTAAATGGTCTGTTAATATGTAATATTTCACTTTCCCCATATCTATGGCAAAGTACAGGCAGCGAAAAAGCCGGAAGCTTAATCAATTCAATTGCAGGTTAGGCTAAACTGCATAGATTGAATCCATAAGCAAGTGAACAGACATTCACTTTTGATTCCGGAAATGTAGCCACATGTTTGCAGTGGCCCAGGCCAGAAGCCAGAGGGCACTAGAGCATGCCTCCTTGCTCAGCTGCAGCAGACTGCTTGGGCCAAGGCCAGCGCACCCACCCTGTGGTGGGGGGGGGGGAGGAGTTGCAGGGGAGGTGTAAAGTGTCTTGGGATGCTGGGAGACTATGAATTAATCTGGAGGGGATCTGGAACAGAAATTCAATAAACTGATTTAACCTAAATCAGTTAAGTCTGATACTACATCCATCCAGGTTTATGTTAAATGGGTTTTGGCCATTTTGAAAGCAGTTTATGTGCACTGAACTTCTGTTGTGTTACAGATTTGAAGTGTTTTCTGATCATATACACTAGTTTATGTGTAATTTCTGCCCATAGCCCAGGAGTATCATAAAACAATTTATTCAGTGTTTGAAAATATATGGAATGTTTTATGTTTTTGTTTTACTTATGTATTTTTATTGCGGCAGTGCTGTGCAGCCCATCATAGACTCAGGCTCTGTTACACTTGGCACTGTATAAATGCAGAACACAGATCTACTTCCTGCCCAAAGAACTTGCAGTGTAAGAATATGGACCTGGACATGGTGCAATCAGCTTTACACCAGTAAATGTAAACTCTCCACTGGGGTAACTGCTGGATCCAATAGAGCAGGGCCTGGCCACCTTTTTCAAGCTGTGGGCTGGAACAGCCCAGCCCCAGTCTGGTGCAGTCTGGGTGACTTCATCAGTACATCAGTGGTGGGGGGCGTTCCCTGCACCCCTGCCAAAACTGCTCATCTGGTAGCTGTGTCCATGCACCATTGCTTCTCCCAGCCCCCTCCTTCTCAGGTGGTGCAAGCACAGATCTAAGCTGAAAGGCTGGCTGTGCCAGGGCCAGGGAGCTGGAAGCTGTTTCCATGCTGCTGGGGCTTCTCCCTAGCACCAGTGAAGTTCTGCTCTGGTTGGAAGCTGCATTTATTTAAACAGCAGCCTTTGGGATGGGGAAGGGAGCAGAGAGAAGCAGCTGCAGCAGCAGCAGCAGCAGCAGCAGGGGTACAGCTTCCAGCTCCCCAGCCCTAGCACAGCTCTCCTCTGACTAAAAGCTGTGCCCATGCCACACAGCCCTGAGAGGGGCTGGGGGTGGTGAGAAGCAGCAGCAATGCAGAATGGCTTCCAGCTCCCTGGACCCAGCACAGCTCCTAGCTGCTCAGCCCCAGAGCAGGCATGGGCACAGGCAGGGGAAAGCCCTGTGACTCCATGGGCCAGATTCAGTGGCTTCACAGGCCAGATCTGGCCCACAGACTGCATGTTGCTGACCCTTGCAATAGAGAATTACCCCAGAAAGAATCAAGGGTAACCTACCAGTATAAATCATTCCAGTTTAGGTTTTGTCTGTCTACATCCATCCTGGGTTAGCTATTTGTTAAAGGCAAGCAAGTTGTTACTTGCTCCCCTGCCACCTAGCAGTGAGGTACTGATATAGCTGGCTATTCTGTAAGTAACTTTGGAATTGCTGCACATCTGTCTGTTCCTGATTCTGGTGTAATTTACATTGGTATGCAACACCAATGTGAGTTATACCAAAGTATGTGGTATGTTAATGTGTCTGTGCCCTAAGGTTAGAGGTAACAGGTGAAATGCAAGAGAAACACAGACAAAGGAGTATAGGAAAACAATGGGGCGACGCTGGTTAGTGGAATAGGCAGTAACACCAGCAGTCTAAGCTTTGGCAAAGATATTACAGTTATCATGGCAAACGAGAGCTTTAAGAAGGATTTGAAGCAGGAGAATGAGATGGTTTAGTGCACGTTTATCTAGAAAGCCTCTTTTGTATGAGAGGCAGTGAGGAGGAAATCGCAAAAGTGCTTTTATTAAAAATGCAACAAATGGTTGATGAAACTGGCAAGCAGAGGAGAGCATCAGCACTTGTGAGTTTAGCCAGTTTGTTCCTCTGCTGAAAGGTTAAACTTTCAAACTCAGGAGTGGATTTTAAAGTACAATGCATTTACTAGCAATAACTGTTTTTCTCATAATTTCTCTTTTCTTGTCAGTCCCTGTGCCTGAGCAACCCAAAACTTTGGTAAAGCTCTTGAAATGGAAATCTAGTTTCATGTTTAGGTTTTAATCAGGATATAGCCAATATCCCAAACGCCTGGTCTATACCTGGCAGAAAAAAGGGGAAAGGGGAGAAAGATGCTTACTTGGAAAGCAGGTGGAAATTTTTGGAACTTGGTAAAAAAAAGAATCTTCTCCTGGCTCCACACCAGAAAATTTGAAAAATCTTTTTAAATGCTGAAGTGCAAGTTCTATGAGCTTGGTAATAAATTTGGAATGAATTTGAGGTTTGGGGATAAAGATGAGAGGAGGATAGTGGGATTCGTATTGTGTGGAGTTGTGGGAAGGAGCAGGAGGGGATAAATTACTGTGCAGAGATGAGGAAACATGGAAGCTTACATCAGTGGAGGCACTGTGAAGCTGCCAGGTTCTGGGGGAGAAAGGGAAAAGAGCACAAGACTTCTGTGGATATTGATTTGGGTTGTAGTAGCACTGTTGATGGGAGATTGGTACCTGTCTTTGTGTATATTTGGGGGGAATGAATGTGTTTTTTAATGTGGGAGCTTTTATTTTATCATTTAGATCCATGAATAAATACAGTTTAAAAAAGGTATTGTCCCAATTCTTCAATGGCACAGCATCCGCTGTAACTCTAATAACCCATAGGAAAACATACTAGACATCTCATGAGTTGTACTGGTTGGCTGCAAGATTAGAAATGAGGTCTTTAGCTGTGCAGTCTTGGATGGTTTCTTCCTTGATTAACTGCAGGATATCTTTTCTAAAATTCCCACTATTGCTTCCACCAGTAAGAAATTTGAAGGAAAAAATCCTACTGTAGATGCCACAATAGTGAATGCACATTATTTCAATAACATATGAATGCTGACCTTCATCCTTCACACAAAGAGCATCATATCTGCCACTCAGAAAGGGGTCGGTTTCAATTTTAACATCAATGGCTTTCACATTCTGCTGCTTGCTGCCTGTCTTACTGCATACCATTGTCCTAAAATAGAGAAGACAAAAAGAAATCAAAGTTCTCTTTTAACTATACCATGCTTGCTGGCATTTGGTGATTTTACATCACTTCAATCAGGGAGTATCATTGCATAAGTCTTTATAAAGAAAGGGTCAAAGTGTTAAAGGAGCTTAGAGGTAGACATGTAGAAAAGGGAAACTAAAAAAGGAAGTAATTTAAAGAATGCCTTCCCGTGTATCATTTCAAGTGCACAGGAAGCCATAACAAAATGTTGGATTAGCAGTTTGTGCAACATAAATCTAACTATTAGTGAAATCTCAATAGTGTGCAGGTCACTTGCACCAGAATTTTCAGTTGGCCCCTGTGGCCATGTCCAGATGAGCTGCAGACACATCTGCAGCACCACATATTCAGCTGTTCTCCGCACTGCAAGATAGCAGCATCGGTGGGGAGGGAAGGGTTGACCCTGGGAGATCTGGGGGTCAAAACACCCATGCAAAAAAAAGCAGAGTGGTGCACACAAGGCCAATACACACTACCAAAAACCAGAGCCTGACTGATAGGAGCTACACTCCAGCTGCTCTGGCTCCAACCAGTGGCAGGCTCCGAATGGCAGGATTGCTGCTGCTGCATCCCCAGGAAGCCCACAGTACCCCAGGTAAGGCTGCTGGGGCCAGCCCACTGCTGGCCCCAGCCTCCCCTACCCCACCCAGGGTAACCTGCCACGCACCAGAGGGCACGTGGCAATGGAGTTGCCTGGGAACAAGTAGCAGGTATGCCACTGCTTCTTGACCCCAGGGAAATAAATGTCCATCCACGTTCATGTGGACATGGCCTGTATGTTCTTTATTTTCTAAATGCCCAATATGAGATACCAGAGGATATTTGCAGGAGAGTTAAATGCTCAAGTACAGCAATGAGAGCACAGTAGAAAAGCCCATTAGGAAATTAATTTTGCATTGGGCAAATGTTAAATGTGGAGGAAAAAAAGAAATATTCTTTGAAAGAGGTTGAAGACTAGTAGAAAAACAGTACTTGATCAAGTAATTGAAGACTATGTGATAATGTATATGGACAAAAGAGCTGAGTTAAGGTTGAAAGGCCAACTTTAATTCTTTTATTTGCTAACTTTGAAGTGTTTGTGCAACCATAACTAGTTCTTAAATTTAGGCTTTTAATGTGATTTCTATTTCTTTTTTAGAAAAACAAATGGTACAATCTGAAATGATGCATCTTTGTCCTTTACCAGTACACATGCCTCAAAATAAAAACAAGGATTCCCCTATGTACTGGAAGGAGCTTCCAAGCCTTTTACTTACAAAGCATTTGGATCCAGTGAAGGATAATATTATCAACAGGCTATTTGTTCAATTTCTTAGGTAATTTCCTTGTAAAGAGAGCCTGGTAAACTAAATAATGCAGATTGTTAGGGTTGAAAGTATTGAACAGTCTGGGAGCACTTACAGGTCTATCCTGTAAGATTTTCACACATGCTTAACTTAACAACTATGCATAGTCCATTTGCATCAGAGAGACTACTCATGGTAGTAAACACATGTTCTGTCTTAGTATGTTCAGGGCATATGCAGCAGGAAAGAAATCTCTAAAGATTTTTTTGTTGTCTGCACATAGATGTGTGCACTCACACAAACACATTTTACATTTCAAATGAGTATATGCTTTGTTTTTCCAGGGGAAAAAACAAGAGTGCATTTGACCCTTAGGGAAGGACATGCTTTGGTTGGTTGGCTAGTTTAGTTTGTGTTTTGACTTTTCTAATTCATTTTTTGCATATTTCCAGGATTTTTTTGAACTTCTATGTCACTAAAATATTTGGATGAACATGACTTGTATTTGAAATGGTGGCAATGTCAGAAATTGGTTCTGATTTCATGTACAAACCTTTTCTTTTTTAATTCCTTAAAGGAAAGTATGAAACTATTGATGGTTTTACAATGCAAGGTATATTTTAATAATTTTTCAATATATTTTTAAATCTGTACTTTGAACATGTTTGTGCATGTGTGCATGCATACACAGTGCCTTCCATCTAAAGCTCCTAAAAAAATTTGCAGAGATGAGTAGATGAGGAAAATGAGAAGATAAATGTTTTTCCCAAACTCTCACATGCTTACAATTTAAGAGCAATTTTTTCAACTGGGATTCTTGAAAGTAATCTCCAGTGTAGCATGCATTACAAAGCTCAGCTGTATTGGCAGGAGATATGGAAACATCAGCATCCATAGCCATTGTATCTATGCTAGTAAAACTGTCTGCTGGCTAAGCTTTTGATACTTGGGAAGCTGGCATAACTCTGGTGTCAAAAAAGTCTTGCCAGTATATGCTGCACCTACATCAATCAGTTCTATCACCACAACTCAGCTGCTATTGCTAAAGCAGTAGCAGCCCCATCATGTAGACAAACCCCACTAAATTCAAATTTAGGCACCTAAATAAAACAAATGGCCTAATCTGCAAAAATAAATGCAGGTGATTAGCCTTTTGTCAGCTCAGACCTTAGGGTGCCTGTACATGTGTGGGGAGGCTGCTCCAATGCACTGTAATTACAGTGTGTTGGAGAAGACTCAATTAATAAGTCTACTGGAGTGTGCTAATCAGTACCCTCCAGTCAGCCTCCACATCTCATGTATCAGCATCCCTGTGCTTCAAAATGGCAGCAGAGCAGATTCAATCAAGTCTGATGGAGCGTGGTAATTACCGTGCTCTAGCCAGCCTCCATGTCTCATGTATCAGTGTCCTCAACTTCAAAATGGTGGTGGGGGCGCTTTATCTAAAGCTCGTTGAGTGAGCTTTAGATAAAAATGTCCCCATCACCATTTTGAAGTATGGGGATGCTGATACATGAGACAATCCAGACACTTTAATTAGAGCAGCTCTAATTAAAGTGCCCTCCCACCCCCAGAACACATGTATAGACCCTCTTAGTGCTCATTTTTTAAAATGTGTTTAGATATTTCACTCAACATTGCAAGGTCTAGTGACTGAGACAGCTATGATCCAATTTTCAAAAGAGATAGCACATAGTATCCCAGAGTCAATGGGTCTTGGCTGAAAGTCAGTGGGACCTGGCTCCTAACTGCTTAAGTTACTTGACTTTGCATGGAGTAGAGCTATGGCCATGCACCTTTAAACAATGAGCCTGGGGATAGGTCCTATTTCACTTTACATGCCTACATGGCAATTAGTCTTGAAGTTAACCCTGTGAGCAGCCAAGGCCCCATGTACAGATTACACTGTTAATCATGCCTTAAGTGGTCACCCAGCCACATGTTCAATCAATTAATGGCATGATAAGAAGAGGAATAAACTACAAAGCTATTTCACAAAACATGTACAATTTCAGGACTTATGTGCATACTTTGGTGATTGTATGGTACCATGCCTGCCTGACCAAAATGCAGAGCCCAACTGTGCAAACGTAGCTGGCACATGGACAGTTGTGCATCCATACTGCACCTGGAGTAGAATTACCAAAACAGGCACTGATGAAACTGGCTATTAAGTGCCATTCGGGTGTATAAGGTGAAATAGGATCTAGCAAGGCTTGAGCTGTGATACCCCAAAATTGAAATACTTGGAGGTTTAATTTCAATAGAGGTCTGTTTTGAAAAATAATGTCCCACAGTCCATTCATGTGGAATTTTAGACACTTGGCATCTCTGCAAATCAGACCATGCCTGGATTCATATGCCTTGTCTTTGGTTTCCAATTTGTAAAATATTTAGCCTGGATTTTCTGACTTCTAGTTCCCTGTTCTAGTCACTATGTTCTCCTTCTTTTCCAAACGGCTTCATTTCATGTGTTACTTCTGGAACAGATTAAACCATTCTCTTTGCATGACACAGCCTTGAAATATTCCTGTCATGTTCAAAATAGGATTGTGAATTCAAAGAACAAAATGTTTCTTTTAATATTTTTCAGGTACTATAGAAAGTTCACGAGTGGTTTACTCCTGCAAGCACCTATCTGATGGAACTCTTATATAGTATATTGACTGGTTAATCATTAGAACAGTGATTCTTTGCTACTGTTGATTAAAAATAAACATATTAGAAGTCTATATAAAATATAGCATTTTAACACTATATACAAAGTGAGAATCTAATGTGTTTGATCTGTTGAGGCCCATTATACGAAGATCCAAAACGTTGAATTTATAGCTAAACTCTGCTTCTGCATTAAGTTTAAAGTGAATTGTGTGTCCTATAAATGAATTTGCCCTTGATTCAAACAGGCCTTAGTTGATACTGCTCTTAAAACTTTAACTTAACATTGTAATATTATCCTTGTGGATTTAGTTTGATTAAAACTGACACCATTCAAGCACAGTTCCTCTGAGAATGAAAAGAATCATGCCTTATGTAAAAAGGAAAAAGGAATGCAAAAAGTGCTCAGTTTCTTATGTATTATAAGTAGGGGTAGTAAAAAAAAATTGAAACATAGCATGATCCTTCTAGCTGCTCAACTCTTGCTCTTTAGGAGGCACTCTAGTTAAGAAAATGTCACAAACATTATACAACCCTATAAGTAAATCTGAATAACAAATGTAATAGAAGAATGGGGTCATTTAGGGTTTTTTAATTCATTTTAATGCTAACAGTGTAAGATGGGAAGAATTACACGATTCCTTTGCATACTTTATAGTGTGTTGCTTAGTTAAGTCTGGTTTGCAATCAGCATACATTTCTTGTTCACAAGTAGCTATTACCTTTATAAATTTATGTAGAGGTATCTGATAAAATTAACCCTTGAATGTACTCTGAAGGAATAGAATGAGTCAGAATAGAGATAAGAATACAAATAATGAATATTTGCTCTAGAATATCCAGGTGTCCCTAAAAAATGTCTAACAGTGCCATATATACAGGCAAACTCTGCTTTTAGTCAGCAGTATAAAAAGCAACCCTACATGCAATTATTTTAAAGGTGGCATTAGTAACATATTAAAATATAAAATCCAACTTCCATACTAATATCCATCTTTTTTCAGGTGCACATAACTTTAT